TAAAGGTAAGCCTTGGAGCCCCAAAAAGAGGCTGTCAGCCCCAGAAAGAGGCTGGTGGGTGTTGCAGGACCAGGGAAGTAGAGGGAGATGAGGGCAGGGCCAGGACCAGAAGCTGTGCTCCTGGAGCCCAAGAAAAGGACTTAGGTGCTCTGGGTGAGAAGGATCAGGAAGCAGTATTGGTTCCCCAGGTGTCTGGGGCCCCAAGACTAGGAATGGCGCAGGGCCCAAACTAGGAGTATAGAACAGCGAGACGGGGGATAGAAGGGTGAATGTCGCTTAGGGAGTCCCGGAGCTGCGCTATAGACCTACCCCAAGAGGTCTGAGGATAGTAGTGCAGGCTAGGAGAGCTAGCCGGTGGTGCAGGTCGAGGGAAGCAGAGAGAGGTGAGGGCAGGGCCAGGACCAGAAGCGGTGCTCCTGGAGCCCAAGAAAGGGACTGAGCTGCTCTGGGTGAGAAGGATCAGGAAGCAATATTGGTTCCCCAGGTGTCTGGGGCCCCGAGACTAGGAATGGCGCAGGGTCCAAACTAGGAGTATAGAACAGCGAGACGGGGGATAGAAAGGTGAATGTCGCTTAGGGAGTCCCGGAGCTGCGCTATAGACCTACCCCAAGAGGTCTGAGGATAGTAGTGCAGGCTAGGAGAGCTAGCCGGTGGTGCAGGTCGAGGGAAGCAGAGAGAGGTGAGGGCAGGGCCAGGACCAGAAGCGGTGCTCCTGGAGCCCAAGAAAGGGACTGAGCTGCTCTGGGTGAGAAGGATCAGGAAGCAATATTGGTTCCCCAGGTGTCTGGGGCCCCGAGACTAGGAATGGCGCAGGGTCCAAACTAGGAGTATAGAACAGCGAGGCGGGGGATGGAAAGGGGAATGTCACTTAGGGAGTCCCGGTGCAGAGAGCTGCGCTATAGACTTCTCATTTTAATTTTTAAAGTACATTTTTCATCTCTGTAACCATTAATGTTCTGTCTGGTTCTGGTTACACTTAGAATCAAACTGATTAATGTAAGTTTGCCCTAAACAACTCGTGTGTAAGATAAGTCTTAGATCTGAAGGCTAGCAATGTCCATGCACATGCTCATAACGTTTAAAGTTGAATAAATGAAGAACGTCAAGGGAAAAAACCTGTAATATATTGACATTTGAACCTAAGAAAAGTTTTATATAATCTGTTACAAGTTTAATTTTTCAAGTTTTGCTACCTTCAATCTACATAATGAATATGAGTGTCATAGCAAATCACTGTACTCATCCACAAGCATGACCTTCCTAGACCTGGGTATTTTCTGCGTACCAAGCAAAATGTCAGTCACAGATAGGCAGAATTGGTAAAAGTTGTTTCCAAATACTTAATTAACACTCTTGTTGTAGAATTTTTGTAGCTTAAATAAAACTCGAAGACAGTGAATCTAATTGTAATTGAAACATTTATATTGTAATGCTTAAACTGAAAATTACTTCGTTTCTCGGCTCAATGAATAATCAGAGCTCTGATTACCTGCACTTGAAAAACCACGTAACTTTCACCTCTCAGTCAAATTACAAACATTAAATACCTTATATATCAGACATAAAAAATTTCTAGTTAAATGATAAAAGTTAATTCTTTGTTAACATAAATTGTGCTGTCACAATAATTGCTGATATTTATGTTACCCTCACTCCATGTGTATAATTGTAAATAGTTTTCTCTTAATGCTCATTTAGAGAAAGACTTCAAGATATACACAATGATTCCAGTATGCTAACATTTGAAATAACTGAGGTGCAGACCAGTTAACTAAATCCCATACCAATTAAGTAATAGACATAGCATTTAAGCCCACTGCAGTCCATTGTTAGAGTGTGCATAGTTAAATACTGCAGCATTGAATTAGCCGTATTTATTTCTACTGCAGAGAAGATATAGAAATGGTTACTTTCTCTGTCTCTTTTTGATACCTGAGTAAAATAAGAACTCCATTTATCCTTAATTCTCTTCCAGTGACAGGCTATTCTGACAACATAGGCTAAGTTATATACTCATGTTTATTTAAGATATATTTTTATGTTATGCATATGAGTGCTTTCCTGCATGTATGTGTGTGTGTCTACAAGGCCAGAAGAAGGTGTTGGATCCTCTGGAGCTGTAGTTACAGATGGTTGTGAGCTGTTATGTGGGCATTGGGAATCAAACTGTGTCCTCTGCAAGGGCAACAGGCATTCTTAGCCGCTTAGCCATCTCTTCAGTCCCCAGTTAGGTGACCTTCCTACCCTATCATATCAAACATGATAGGTGTGTCTGTTCTATTTCTTTTAATTCCATAATTAAGTATAATTACTTGAAACAGGAATTACTTCAGAGTTGGCAGCAAACTATAGCTAAAATGTGGTGTGGGTTCAGTAAATGTTTGTGTATGAATGAATTGCAGGTCTGCCTGCTGGCATTCCAGGCTGCACCAGAACAATAGTATTTGCTTCCCACCAGCACACTATCATTACTTTGATAACAACATTCTCAATTCTCCAAAACTGATAAATGGTATTTCTCTTTGAAATTTCTCCAGAAAGTATATCAATAATTATCCCAAGAAAAGTAATTCTTACCTTCTAAATCTTCTTTCTCAAAATGTGTTTTGAGAATAGAACGTGTTCCACCTCTATCCACAACTGCCTCTTCATCATTTCTCTATACAGTGAGGAAAAATAAAATAAATATGTATATATATCTTTTCATTTCAAAAATCAAGCATTACATGACATAATATTTAGGAATTTGGTGTTTGATTATCAAGTGTTGCTTTCAAAAGGAAGCAAAAATGAATTTAGTCCTATATTCAGATAAGAAATGTCATTTGATTTGATATTGACAGTATTCAAACATTCCTGTTGGCATCATTTGTTAATGAGATGAAAAACAGAACACAAACAGCTATCTTGTCAATTTAGTATCATGCCTCTTTATCCCTGATAAAGAACTCTTGTTAACAAGATCACATTTTGAACTATACAAGGGAAAAAATGAAGATCATTAGTATTAACACCATGAATGCTATGGCAGGGTGAAATAATTCCACTTCCATTAAAAATTGATCTAGTCCTGTGAAAGCAATTAGTGGGCAATTATTAGGTAAATGAAAACTCTAATTACTTTGCTAGTACAAGGCATCTCAAAAAACTAGATAATAAATGATGATCATTTGCATTTTGTTTCCTTATATGTATTTTCTAGTTTAGGATGGCTGAACAGATACTAAGTATTCTGAACATTGTACATATGCTCAAAACACAGTAAATAATTTGGTGCTCAACCTCTATACCCAAGGCTCAAAGGTTCACAGAACATAGTGCAACAGGGGGTGAAGTAAATACTAATGCATCAACTCTCACCCAGGAGGCCACAACTGGCCAAAATGTAGAGAGTAAGAGACTGCAGAGTGCGTGCTCCTGGATAAAACTCCTATATTAAACCTCACTCACACATGGCCAGGGACTATTGTAGAACAGGAGGTGGAAAGATTATAAAAGCCAAGGGCAGTGCATGACCATAAGGAAAGAGTTTTCTAGGCTGCTGATCTGTCACTCATATGAACTCACAGTAAATGTGAGAACATGCACAAGATCCATGCAAACTGAAACCAAACAAAACCCAGCACAGAACTGGGGAAACGGGCAAGAAGCCCAACCTTAGCTGGGGAATTATTGGCAGCTGACCATTGCTGGCTGAGGAAGAGTTGGTCTTCTTTAAGGAAGTGACGCTAGTTAGGCTGACAAGGCTCCAGTGGATGAACTCACATTGAAGGACATATGGGGACCCAATTTTACTAGATAGGCCTTAACATATATGACAGAATACATGAAATCTGATGAGGTCTATGAGGGGTGCATATAGGAGAGGGTGCCTAAATATGATTAAGATGTATTATATGAAATGTACAAAAATTCAATAAAAATGTGTATTGAAAAACAATGAAGAAAGTATTTAGTATAATCAATTTGACCATGCAGGATAAAAGAAAAATGCAAGAAGTGAAACCATTTCAAACTTTCATCTGGTCATGAACACATATGTAAAAATTGATTTAAAAAAGAACATTTAACATAACAGGAGAACATCAAAACTGAATGAAGCTTTGAGATGTATTCTAAGACTATTCTACCATATGACTACTTAAAAAGAAGGCTTTAAAAATCAAAAATTATGTTGAAAGAAATAGTACCTTTGTCTTCTAAGCAACCAAATACTTTGAAGCACTGGATACTGGTAACAACTTCCTTTCACTAAGGAAGAATCTTTGAGTAAGTCCAATAATATATACTTATTATTGTCATTGTGGGCTGGGATACTTAAAGGTAATGAGGATAACTGTGTTGTGGAGGAGAACATATGACAGAACTTAATCACCAAAGACAAGATAGGTGTGTTTAGCTTAAGGACAGCAAATCAAAGCAGTAATAAAAATAAGCTGATTCATAGAGACCTCAAGTGCTCGCTAGTGGATCAAAGTGTCCCTAGAGATGAAGTGGATGGACAGTCTACTAAATTCTTATTTGATACATATGAACAAAGAAGTTCTAGGTCAAGTGAACTGATGTCTAGCTTGAATTTTCAAAACATAGTGATGGCTTCTCAACCAATTCTTATATTTGAGCCAATTTATAATATCAAAATCATTGACTAAAGGATGACAGATCTAGTACAGGCCCTGTTACAATGCCAAAATTTACAGTCTTTATCATGCCCATCTTCAAAAGAACTTACCATCTTTTACCAAGGTGGCTAATCACAGAAAACATAAAAAGTCACTGTGGTTCACCAACCAGAGTAGGGCTGGATGCCTACTAGGTAATTAATGGAGCTATAGTTTAAGTTTATCTCATGTGGATTCAGTCAAAAGACTATAAACATGAATTATGATGTAAGGAATGTGGAGGGATCTATGGTATCAGGTGCTAGACTTTGAGGTCACTCCTAAATATGTCAATAGATGAATTTTTATTTTATTTTTTATTGTTTCTATAGATTTTTGAATATCAAACATACCAAATGCACCCTACTTCCCATAAATATTTATGCATTTATTGACAAATTTTAGTATTGCATATGGAAAAGAATACAAACATATGACATTGCTTTCTATAATATTTAACATTACCCTTGATAAACATTTGTAAGAGGATTCCATTAACACATATACACCAATATTGTAAAAGTTTTAAGCCATGACCCACAGTGAAAAATACCTTTTATATCCCCAAACAGTCACCTATTCAAATTCATGTAATAAAAACAAAAGTTTCATACTTTAGTATTTACCCTCACTAAAAGTAATTCACGTTAGGGACATGACTCAGTGGTTAGAGCACTCACTTAGTACCTGCAAGACTTTGGCTCCTGCTCTTAGCACCATAAGAAAAAAAATCAAAATGCATTGTGATATTTCGTGTTCTAGGATATTCTGTTTCATTAAAGAATGATAGTCACAAAATAATTAAAAATTAAAAATAGTAGTCACTACCCCCTAAATGTATTTCAGGTCTTAAAAATGGGTTAGATCTGCAACTTGAAAAGCATAAACTGTAGCCTTAGAACAATGTAACTAATCCTCACAGAAATCACATCTTAAGTGAGTGTATAGAGGCATCTAACCAAATTAAGTATATTTTTTTCTTTCCAAGTTAATATTTTTTCAATATTAAAGTTACGGTCATAAGTTTAAGAACATATGATTTATAGTAATGTAAGTCATATATATCTTTTGCTGAATTACTTGGAGGATTTTTCTTTCTATCAGTAGGAAGTAATGGTTCAGTGCTCCTACTTCCATTAAAATACAAATGACTTCCTAAGGAAGAATAGCCATTCACGTATGATCTATATCCCTGCTCTAGTTACATCCTGATTATAACTAAATTGTATTTCTAAAATTTGTATAACTAATTTGTATTTATATTCAACTATTTTAAAGGCAAACTCCACATAACTTTTATGATTTTCAGCAATTTGATGACTTCTGAACAGTACATTTGTAGTATGGATACAGATATAGTCAAATAGAAATGTAGAACATATGTGCCACAAAAAATTTAGTGGAAGAATTTTTGTCATTTTTATAATGATAACAATATTTAAACAAATATTAGAAATCAGTAGCAGAAAAAAGCTTTCAACTTAGCTATCATATTTGAAGTACACTTGAATCTAGAGGTCAACATACTCAATAATGTTCACATTTAAAAAAAATCATCAAACTAGGCTGGAGAGATGACTCAATAGCTAAAGGGCTTCACTGTGAGGATGTGATCTGGATCACCAACGCATATGTAAAAGCAAACACATAGGCACATATTGGTAACTCCAGCATGGGGTGGGGTTTGGGGTAGGGGAAACAGGAGAATCCTGGAGGCATGCTGGCCAGTCAATATGGCTAAAACAGCAAGCTTCAGGTTCTGTAAAAAGACCCTGTCTCAAAAAATAAATAGGATGATGTACAATAGAGGAAGATATCCTTTGTCAACCTCCAGCCTCCACATGCACATGCATTGGTGAGTTCACCAGGCACACACATATGCAAACAAC